CATTGCCTTCATATAGAATTCATCTATGGTGTGTGTGTGTGTGTGTGTGTGTAAATTAGAGTTCTTTTATCATCAGAGAAAGGGTGTAATGAGCCTTGATGAGAACAGAGGTAAAAGGTGGATTGTCTAGGATGAAAAGCAAGACTATTATAAAAAAGCAGGTAAATTCAGGAAGCAGATGTCATCAATTTCAGGTTGGGATACTAAAGAGAAAAGGTTGTATAAAAGCATTAACATTAATTCACTGAATGGACTTGGAGGAATAACAGTTTTGGGGTAGAAGGCAAGTCATATGTTATATTTATAATATATTCTGTAATTTATAATACTTTCTTTTTGTAAGGACACTCAATACCTGAGTTCATTAAACACAAAAAGGAGGGTATGAGTTAATTGCTTGCAAAGTACAAAAAAAAAATCTAGAATTTTAAAGGTAGCTCAGGAGGCACAGGTGGAGCAGGAAGATATAATAGTATTAATGAGACTCCTATGCTCCTAATCTGTCCTCATTGCTGAAAGAAAGCAATATAAGTCCATTAAAATGAAAAATAAAAATCTTATAAAATAGTAATTGTGAGAGTCAGCTATCCATGGCTATGACCAACATGACCACATATGAATAGAAAAAATTTTATTTGGGGCTCAGGCTACGATCAGACTAGAGGTCTGTATCAATTGAGACTGAGCTGAGGCACAACACCACAGCAAAAGAGAAACAGCTGAGGAAGATTGCTCACCTCATGGCAGGTGGGAGGCAGAGAGTGAAAGAGGAGGAGGATCCAGGGGACAAGATATAATCCCTAAGGGCACACCCATGCCCCACCTGTCTGCAGTTACCATTCAGTTAATCCTTTCAAATTATTAACCCATCAAATAGATTAATCCACTGAATATGTTGCAGCTCTCATAATCTGATTATTTCATATGCTGCTCTAACACAGAAACTTTTAGGGATACCTCATATCCAAAACATAACAGCTATGATGTCCAACATGTCCCATAATCAAGTTTTAAGGAAAAGTGAATGGGCTGAATAAACTTGAAAATCCCATAGAGTACTAAAATTCTACAATATTTTCTATGTTTTGGGATATCAAGGTTTTTATTTATTTCCATTAAAATAAATGGATTCCACTTATTATTATTATTATTATTATTATTATTATTATTATTATTATTATTATTATGTCAAACAAGGTGAATCAGTTTCCATAAGGTAAGTATTTAAGAGGCAGTAATAATAATACCATGATGTTTGAAATCAGAGATTGCTGAATTTAGATTCCATTAATCAGATGCATAAACTTACAAAATCGATTTCAATTTCCTAAGTGGTGGTTGCACAATTTATTCAAAAATGTGAATTTTTGAAAGTAGAATGAGCTTATGAATATAAAGTGATCACTGCAATGACTTCCATATAAAGGGAACTCTACCATTCCTGCTGCTATACTGTACTTATTACTGTGGTTATTGCTATTGATACTTTTACTACTAAAATTTCTATTGCAATACTTTTGGCATCTCCTTAAACAGAACCACCCACTTAATATTGTAAAAGACTAAATTCATAATGGCAGGAAAAAAATATATTACAAATTCTGTTGTTGATATTTCCAAGAATGGTCACATCATACTCCTGTTCCACCACAAAAGCTGAGAATTCTAATACTCTCTCCTATGTAATGGACTCTTCTGGTTAACTAACAGTTAACCTCTTCTTATTCATAATTCACATTTAAAGGATTAGAATTCTGACTTTTCTTTTTCCTCTTGTAAGAACTTTAAGAACACAGATTGATGACTTGCTTTAATCCTATCTACTGAAAAGCTAGGTATTACTAAAGATGTGAGAAGCAAGATTATTGAGGATAGAATGCCAAGAGGATTTGGGTTTGAAGGACCTTGATTGAGAATGAATTGGAAAAATACGATATCCAGGGGATTTTCCTTGGGAGAGCATATCAGAAGCCTAGTGGTTTCCTTTATGAATCTAGAATTGAGGCCGTAACATTAATATGGGAAACTGAAGTACAGTAGGAAAGACTTGCTACTCCCATTTGTCTAAAGCCCAATAGTTTAAAATTTACAAACCAAACTCAAGTGGAAAATATTGTTTTATATGTTCTTCCAAGTAGTGTGTGTGTGCATGTTTTTCTCTGCAAGCTTGGAATAAATATTGAGGCTGGGGTCCCCACTGCCCTTGCATGATTGTGGTTTATTCATCTTTGCTGATCTTTGAATAGTACAAACAGAGGATAATGTTCAAAAAAAGATAAGAGAAAAATATATAATCATGCCATAATGGATTGCTGGCTCATTATGAAGAATATGTTGATCTTTTCTAGAATTAGAGGATAGAGTTAGGTTTTAGTTGTCTTGTTTTTTCTCCTTACCAAATTATTCCTTTTAGCTGTGGGAAGTCTGTATTTGTAGGATAATATTTTATTCTTAGAAGAATATTTGATTCTTTCAGTAGGTGCTTCTTTCCTAAGTGGATACTGAAATGCACCTAATGTCCTGAAATGTGCAGCATTCACATATATCCTGCATTAAACATCTTATCTTAAACATATTTTGTGCTTTCACTACTGAACACACACATGTCAGTCTTTGAAATGCAAACAATATGGCCTTCAAGAATATGGTCATATTTTCAAAATGTTAGAGACACTTTTTTCCCCTGCTCTAAAGCCTTCTTGAGACGTTGAATAAGACTATGTTCTTGCCATTGACATGGATGCCTAGAGAATTTAACAATTTTGATGTATACCCTATGCATTTACCAAGATCAAGTATGGTTTTTTTTCAAATTTAATATCTTTTTATTTATTTATTTTTTAAATTTTTTTATTTGTTGCTCAAAACATTAATATGATCTTGGCATATCATACATTTGATTCAAATGGGGTACGTAATCTTATTTGGAAAAATAAGATCAAGTATGTTTGATGTTTAAAAATTAGCAAACAAAGCAGAATTCCTCCGACCCGTACCCATACATGCTGTTAAGAACACTGCAATAACCTTCGAACTTTCCAAAATTCATGTTGGGAGGCTCCTTGTAAGGAGGATGGATGGAGATAGGGCAACTGACTATGTCCTATAGGGCAGAAAGTGAACCATGAACCCTTTTACACTAATTTTACTGATAATATTATATGTGTGGTGATACATATTTTTACAAGTGCCATGTGTGGGAGAGGAGCACTGCTGCTCCAAACCATCGCATCACCTGGCCCTGCACACCTCCTTAACTTAACTCCATGGTCTTGCCATGTGACTATCTAGGAAAAAAACAAAACAACTCCCCAATGTCAAAACCTCTCTCTCTTTTTCTCACATCTAGCTGAAGCTCTACTCCTTTTCCCTGCGATCACTCTTACTGATTCTTGTTTTAGATCCATGGTTATTTCCTAACAGAGCCTTTCGAGGTCTTCCTAGACATGTTCTCTGTGCTGACTGCCTCAGGACTCTTGCCATTATTATAAATGTCTGCTTGATTTTTCTTTTTCTGGGAAGTGAAGATACAATATGGTGTTGCATATCTTTGCATTCCTCTGTGTTGAGCAGTGCTAAATATGCAATAAGTATAAAATAAGTATTTATTGCATGAACAAATCAGTAAGTTTCTCAAATTTGCTGCAATATCTCATTGCATATGATTTTTTTGGCCAAAAATTATTTTAGACTGATAATTTTACTAAACATCCTATCAAAACTAATGTGAGAGAGATTATTTACCAAAAATAAAACAAAACCCAGTAGGAATTCAGGATGGGAACCAAGCCAATCTAGTCCTCTAAATAGAGTATCTTAGCACATATATGTGAGGGCCAATTATTTACTCACTGAATAGGAGAATTCAGCAAAAATTCTCTGATGGTACTGTTCACTGAGCACACCCCGGGGCCTATTCTGTTCTGAGATAAACGTTCTATGACAAGTACAACTGCTATGTGTTCAATTGTTTTCTGTTTTGTTTTTTTATTTTTTGTTTTTTCCCCCTAAGTATAGAATTCCCCAGCCTTCTGGCCCTCCTAAGTCCAGGGGGAATTTTTAAAATTTTATTGTCAATAAAGCAAACACATCTTTGAACCTCTTTGGGGATGTATAGATGAAAAGTGTACTTGAACCCATAGCTCCACATGCTCAGTAGCTGAAGAGAATGCTGAAGAAGTGAGCTTATCAGTATAAATTCTAGAGTACGCTCTCTGGCAATGAAGTTGAAGCATCTGTGTGGCCCTTCACTTTGAGTGGTCTGAAAAAGTTTCCCTGTAAAACGTGGAAAGCACTTCACAAGGTCAGCATTTTAATTACATTAATTTCTACTCCATGTTCAACTCAGAGATCTCTCAGCAAACTATCCAACCCTGAGATCAATGAACGAGAGAAAGAGAGAGAGAGAGAGAGGGGTTGGGGATGAGTTCTCTGAAAGCCACGGTGGGTCAATCAATGATGAGCAAACCACAACAGGAACCCAGGGAAGGCTGCGGGCTTCCAGTGGATAATAAAAACCTCATTAAAAGCCAGTTGTTTCAGAATAAAAAAAAAAATCAAATCAGAACATAAAGAACTTTTCATACAAAAAAAATTGATTTCTAGTGCTTTAAAAAGGAAATATAATGCTAATTATATACTAATGGATGTTTTCATTTTTCAGAAGAAATAAAGAGAGGCAAAGAAACTTCTCCGTGGTAGCAAAGTTTGAGCACTGCTGTTATGTAAAGTATAGGAGTGGCAATGAATGACAAGACTCAGGAGTAGAGCATGGCATTGGTCTATGGCAGGGCCCCGAAAGACATCTTGGTTGGGCCTGAACCACCCATCAGCCACAAAGAGCAACATCCAGCTTTCTGCCCTAAGCGGTGTGTTCAGGTAAGGTAAGAAAAGACACTAAAGCAATTAGTCTAAGATAAAAAGTAGGAAAAGAAAATAATTTTTTAAGTAGAAGGAAATTTTTATCTCGGAGGCTGAACCAACAAATAATGGAGAATGGCTGGCATTTGTAGGGCCTTTACTCTTTGGTACCTCTGTTAGAACTTTCTGCACAGTCATTTTGAAGTAGACTTTTTCTTCTGAGTGGGTCATAAATGTCACCCCTGCTTCCCAGCCCTGTCCAACATAGTATGACTCAGGGAGACCAGAGTGTAACTGGAGTAGTTGACGGGCCGGTCAGGGGCATTTGGTGTGTAGCTGACTCAGGCCAGGGCCTGCATGTGCCACTTTTGACTCACCATTATTTCCGGCCAGGTCTTCTTTTCCATGGTTCAGAGGGTAGGGCAGCACCCATCTCACGATGCTTTATTTTTACCAAGCTCTCTATACTGTGCTTGGCATGGCTTTGCTCCAGAACTCTAGGGATGCCCATGTGTGAAGGCGTCACGGGAGCTCTTCATTAACTTGCACATGGCATCTTGTTCACCCAGCATCTCCAAACACATAGGCTCTGCTTGGTGATATGGTGCAAGAGGCAGGACTGTGTGAGCATAGCAGACTCTGCCTCACACTTCTTCCTTTCTTCCTTGGGCCTCTCTCAAAGGTAGCCAGCCGCCTTTTTGGTTACATCATTTGTGGGCTGATGAAGTTTTCTCAGGCTGCCTTCCTTCAAAACATAAAGAGTCCTAAAAAGTGTTTTGCTTCCTTGATTGTGAAAGGAAGTAAAACATACAATCATGTGTCCTTTAAAAGAAAATTCCCGCCTGCCAGGACATATTGTTTGATGTTAGTGGGTCTCAGTGTCTGTTGGTTCATTCTCCTCTTGAAGTATGTGTGAATTACTATAATCTCCAGTATATTGTCTCTTCTTGTATATCCGGTATGATAGCATGATGTCATACACACAGTGATCCAGTGTGAAATTCTGGGTATGATCAGATAGTCTCTTGGCATCATATAATGACAGAGAGCAGAGAAGTTAGCATAGCCTTGGGGAATACATAAATAAATCTTATTGCTAATTTCACATGAAAGAGAATAGTTTCTGCATGCACTTCCCTTTAGGGATGGAAAAAAATGTATTTCTAGATTAACAGCTTTATAAATACATCCTGAGGTCATCCTAATGTGCTCTAACAAAGACCACATGACCACTACAAATGGAACCATGGTGGCCACATGGTTGAGTTTGTGATAATTCATTAATTATTTTTCCAGATTACATGGTTTTTACAGTGGCCACACCAGTGGAACCAATGGAGTCATAATGGGATGCACCACTGCTATAATTTTCTGAAGCTTTAGAATACCTCCAATTTATACCATTCCGCTTTGTATTTTGCTTGAATTTTCTGTCTTGGTGAGGGGAAAGGGTCATTTTAAGAGGCTGTCTTTAGGATCTGCCACTATGATAGCTCTTACCTCATGGTACAAAGGACAAATTTCACTGGATTCAATGATTCTCTCTATATTTGGATGCCCTGTAGTGTATGGTTACCTGGGTAAATAGCAGTCCGAAGCTGCACAAGGAATTATGACATTTCACTGGGGAAGTTGCCCTCAGACTCCCAAAATTTATATCCATATTTGTATAGAATAATCATTATTACTTACTGGCAATCTGCCTTCCCCTAAATGCACACAATTCCATGAATGATCTTTATACACTAGTCTTCATTATAATTCTGCTTGATCTTTTCTGATTCTTAAATGCCTCACCTCATGCCTACTATTTCAGTAGTCTAGCACCCTGTTACTCACAGTGAGGTCAATTCCATTGTGACATCTCCTGATGATGCTAGTATCCCTCCCCCTTACCAGTTCCTTGCTTTGGTAACCTGGTGTCTCCATGTCCTACTGAAAAACATAGAAATCTGGTGGTTTTCCTGACCCTTCTTTCTGTCTCCATTTTAAATGCTTTGCTAAATCTTTTGACCTATTTTTCTATAATCTGTCAATCTATCACTGTGCTTCTGGCATTTTTGCTTCCATTTGTACAGAACGTCACTTTCAAGTTTATAAGGACTCACCCAGCAACATCTTAGTACCATTCTCCTGGTACTTTTTAGGGTCTTAACTCTTATACCCCTCTGAGGGCTACCAAATCATCGAAATATTCCTGATCTGAATTTATCTTCCAAAAGAATCCCAATTTACAAATCAAGAATAGGGGAATTACTGCTTTTAAAGCAATAAGGATCCACATGATTGACTTGTGCAAAATTATACAATCCTCCGATTGATACAGAGGCAAGGGAGCTGAGTTTCCAGGAGAGCAGATAGGAATATGGGCTGAAATCTGCAAAATTTGACTTTAAAATTTGATATTAATGAACTGAATGACAATGGTGAAACTGAAAATCTCTATGGGCCTTGAATTCCCACCTTTAAAACTGGTATACAGGATATTGATCCTTTGTCTATTCTTCTTTTCCCAAAGAAGAGGATGGAGAGAGTACCTTAAGAGGGAAGAGATTAAAGAGATCAAGGTCACCTTTTCTTTATCCATTCATCTATTGAGGGACACCTAGGTTGGTTCCATAATCTAGCTATTGTGAACTGAATTGTTATAAACATTGATGTGACTGTGTCACTATAGTATGCTGATTTTAAGTCCTTTGGGCATAAACTAAGGAGTGGGATAACTGGATTAAATGGTGGTTCCAGACCCAATTTTCTGAGGAATCTCCATACTGCTTTCCATAGTGGTTGCAGCAATTTACAGTTCTACCAGCAATATATAAGTGTACATTTTTTTTTACCACATTATCACCAACATTTATTGTTGCCTATATTCTTGATGATTGCCATTCTGACAAGAGTGAGATGAAATCTTAGAGCAGTTTTGATTTGCATTTCTCTAATTGCTAGAGATGTTGAACACTTTTTCATATATTTGTTGATCAGTTGTATTTCTTCTTCTGTGAAGTGTCTGTTCAGTTCCTTAGCCCATTTATTGATTGGGTTATTTTTTTTTCTGGTGTTAAGTTTTTTTGTGTTCTTTATATATCCTAGAAATTAATGCTTTATCAGAGGTGAATGTGGAAAAGATTTTTTCCCAATCTGTAGGCTCTCTCCTCAATTTATTGTTTCCTTTTCTGAGAAGAAGATTTGTAATTTGAATCCATCCCATTTATTAATTCTCCATTTTACTTCTTACATTTTAGAAGTCTTGTTAAGGAAGTCAGATCCTAGACTGATGTGGTGTAGATTTGGGCCTATTTTTTCTTCTATTAGGTGCAGGGTCTCTGTTTCAGTGTCTAAGTCTTTGATCCACTTTGAGTTGATTTTTGTGCAGGGTGAGAGATAGAGAGGTTTAATTTCATTTTGCTACATATGATTTCCAGTTTTGCCAGCACCATTTGTTGAATATGCTATCTTTTCTCCAGTGAATGTTTTTGGCAACTTTGTCTAGTATAACATACCCATATTTATGTGGGTTTGTCTCTGTATCTTCTATTCTGTACCATTGGCCTACAAGTCTATTTTGGTGCCAATACCATGCCATTTTTATTAATATATCTCTGTAGTACAGTTTAACATCTGGTATTGTGATGCCTCCTGCTTCACTTTTCTTGCTAAGGTTTGCTTTAGCTATTCTGGGTCTCTTTTTTTCCAAATAAATTTCATGATTATGAAGAATGTAATTGGGATTTTAATAGAAATTGCATTAAATCTGTATAATGCTTTTGGAAGTATGGCCATTTTGACAATATTTATTGTGCCTATCCAGGAGCATGGGAGATCTTCCTATTTTCTGTGGTTTTCTTCAATTTCTTTCTTTAGTGTTATGCAGTTTTTATTGTTTAGGTCTTTCACCTCTTTTGTTAGATTGATTTCCAGGTACTTTATTTTGTTTGAGGCTATTGTGAATGGAGTAGTTTTTCTAATTTCTCTTTCAGTGGATTCATCACTGATGTATAGGAATGCATTTGATTTATGGGTGTTGATTTTATATACTCAATGGAATATTGCTCAGCTTTATAGAAGAGTAAAATTATGGCATTTCCTACTAAATGGTTGGATTTGAAGAATATAAAGATAAACAAAATAAGCCAATCCCACAAAACCAAAAGCCGAAAGTTTTCTCTAATATGCAGGTACTGATTCACAATAAGGCAGGGGGCATTAGGGAAGAAGAACATTACCTTAGATTAGGTAAAGGGAAGTGATGGGAGGGAAGGGGAGGCATGTGGGGATAGGAAAGATAGTAGAATGAAACAGACATTATCATT